GTAATTGAAATTGCATTTAAAATAAGAATTAAAAGAGAAAACTTAAAGATTCATCTGAAAGGAGTTTTTCATTGTTATTCTTCCTTTTGAAAAGTAAAGTAGCTTTAAATATTTATTACATGCATGGTTTATTGAAGGGATAGGGTATAATATATATTACTATATCTTAGCTCAAATTTTAAGTACAGGTAAGTCTTCTTTGCTTCAACTGGATTTTCCTACCAACCAAAATAGCCTAAAAAAACAAGGCGAAAACATAGTTGTAATCCCTGCTTTGCTTCATTAGTTTAGAAACACTTCAGAGAGTTCAGATTGTTCTGAACTTTGATCACTATTACATTGAAATTTACTACATTAACTCTGTAGCTTTTATATCAGACACAATTTAAAAGAACAAGTTATAAGAAAAATGTGTTGCTAATGATAATAATTAGAGGTTTAACAAAGGGATGTGTCAAATGGAACCCCCAAATCAAGGGCAAGTTATTACTCAGATAACCTTTGAATATGCCAGAATTAGCTAAATTATCAGTAGTTTCATGAGCTTTACTAGAAAGGGAAAGAAGTAATGGCCAGTGTGCCTCAATCAGTTTAATGACAACTTGATTTTCCAAAAATATCCTTAAGGAATTAGTCCAACTAATTTGGGAAAATAATGTAGCTAAGTTATACCCAGCATATTAAGCACTTAAGTGTGTGTGTTGCTTTCAGATAATTTGGCAGGGCACACAGCTACATTCATAAAAAGCTAAAATATTAATGAAAGTATTAACATTGTCGGATTACAAATTGAGTTGAAGTTTATCATGTGTGCCATAGTAGTGGGCTTTTCCTTCAGATCAGAACATTTTTAAAGAGGAGAAAGAAAAATTTAAAAGAAAGAGTCTTGCTTCACCACTTTTGAGCTCAGGCTTTTTTCAGAAGCTCATTCAATTGTCCAGCATTGTGATCACCTAGAGGGCGGGTGCACACTCCAAGCATGGACCCTGAGCTGTTGCCAGGTGCTGCACTACCTACCATCCACCAGTGGTGCCAGCATTGAATGATGGGGCATGGGGGTCAGGAAGGAAGCCTCAGGTTCTTTTATTTGGCTGGTCTAAATTCACATGGATTCTTTAACACTTCCAACAAAAGAAAAAAAATCTTGTTTTGTACAACATATGAAGTTTACTTTCTATATTTTTTAAACCGCCTATTAAAAGTCAGTCATCCTTCTACATTTGGGTCTAAAATAAAGATTTTTAACTTACATTTGGTTGTTAAATGAGGCTCTGGGTGTGGAAAAGGATTACTATATTTGATTCTCTTTTTTTGATCATAGAATCTGTATCTTTCAGGAAGGATCAGCTGTGTGTGATTTGGGGTTTAGCATAATCTTATTGCAGAATTACAGGAGGAGGAGAGACGAAGCTTGGAAATGTCTATTAGGTTTACCACAAGCAGACCCTAAGACAAGGGTCTGGGTACAGTCATTTAGTTAGGAAGTGGTTCTCTTTAGCACAGTGACGGCGTGAGACCATGAGATCAGCTCCCTCCAAAAAGGGAGATCAGCTAATGAAATGGACCAGTGGTGGAAACAGGGCTCAGTTTTTCCTGTGACTCTCTGAGGGATGTGCAGACCATGCTCAGATTTCCTATTAAGGGATGTTGATGCAAAAGCTGTAGTATTTATTCATCAACTACCTCTTCATTTGCAGACACACAGGAAATTGTACATTTAGAAAGGAACAATCTACGGTGATCCCCAAGCAAGGGATATGAGTAGGATGTTGACAGGCTTAGCTATAAGAAGCATAGCTAGAAACTCATGTAAACACTGGAAAAGTTGACTGATTAAGTTCAGTGGAAAATGGTATTGGTATTGAATCCACGTACACACAGGTTATCATCATAAGCTCACTAATGGAGAGTTATGTACACTGAGCACCTGTGGCTTGGTGCATTTCATTTTGTCTTAGCCCTTGACTCACCAGCCATCAGAAAGAGTAAACAATGGACTTTAACCTAATTAAGCCAAGCTTAATACATCTCTGTAGATGCACAGATTCTATTAGGATTTCTAAATAGATAGCCAAATCCAGACCCATAATTATTTATAGTCTACATGTGAATATTCCTTATCAGTGCTTTAGAAGTTAACATTTATTTTCAACCTCTACTTGCTTTGATTATGACAGATTCAATGGGAAGCCTCAAAGCAACATGCTTCCCTTCTCTCAGCAGGGGCTCCTCTGTTCAAGTCTGAGAATATGACCAGACAGGTCTCCTGATTTTTTGGGGTTTTTTTGAGGCGGAGTCTTGTTCTGTTGCCCAGGCTGGAGTGCAGTGGCACAATCTCAGTTCCCTGCAACCTCCACCTCCCGGGTCCAAGTGATTCTCCTGCCTCAGCCTCCTAAATAGCTGGGATTACAGGTGCCTGCCACCATGCCCAACTAATTTTTTTTATCTTTAATAGAGATAGGGTTTCACTATATTGGCCAGGCTGGTCTCGAACTCCTGACCTCTGATGATCTGCCTGCCTTGACCTCCAAAAGTACTGAGATTACAGGTGTGAACCACCATGCCCGAGCAGATGTCCTGATTTTTGTGGATGGAAATTTCATACTTTCCTCACCAGATTCCTCTGTTGGTATGAATACACTTTGGACATTATAGCTCCTTTGTGTGTAATATTTTGGCTTCACACCCAATTATTCCATATATTAATCAATAAACAGAAAGAAGAGGAAGTGACCATCCACAGAGTACTTTGCTGTAGTGTACACTCAGGACCTACAGAAATGGAATTCAGTGGAGGCAATACTAGCAGAACTCAGTCTGCTAAACACTTATAGGACAATTTCTATCTGCTAAACACTTCCATGGGTGCACCGTGAGTTTGATTACATTTAGAGTTTCCCAAAGGAATAAATGTCTCATGAGTCACAGATACCAAAGCTTAGAGAAACTGAAGACAAGTGGCAAGTTTATGCATTTTGGGGATGAGTAGCCAAATATGAGCAGATGATGGAGTAGTTCTTCATATCAAGATGATGAAAGCTAGCAATTGAAGCGCCATTACCTGAAAACAAACCCCCTGTTTTTTTCAAATGGGCTCTGAGACAAGAGAGGGATCGGGCCATGCCCTTTCCAAAGCACTAATGGTAAATCAGAGAAGAATGCACCAGGGTCTCTGGTATATCATTAATAACCAAGGCTTCAACACACAGTGCACTTGCTGTCAGATGAGACGAGAAGGACAGGCTGGTGTTTGGAAGAAACATCATGCCTGACTCTTGAGAAACAGAAGGGCAACTGAAGCAGAGGAGCCCCTGCATTCTTCTTTAGTTTACATTGGTGCTTTTCAAAGGGCATGGCATTTATTGGTCAAAGATGGACACTTTCTGAAGAAATGAATGAATGAATGAATGATCAATGCTCAGTTATGCCAGTACATGGAGAAACACTAGCTACCATACACTGAGGTCCCCTCATGGGCACATACTATGTCCCCTGTTGCCTTTGCACTTGTCTTTCCATGGGGGGGATGAGCTGAGGGGAGGATCATCCCATCTGCATCAGAATGCACTCCTGGCCTACCCTCAGCTCTCTCAGTGGAAGTTTCCAATAGCCACCAAAATGATGTGCACTGAGAGTGGACCAAAGAGATTGACACCTGGCTCTGTGAATCCGGAAGCAAACCCTAGTTTCCCCTCTACCCCTGTCTCTCATCAGCTTGACAAAAAAAAAAAAAGAAAAAGAGAGACAATGTGATAGATAAAGATGTGATAAAGTGTTTCATTGAACAAATATTTGTTTATAAACATTGAATATAAGTTGCTAAATTCTACCACAGCTAAAGCATATGATGTTTTCTTCAATGGATTAACATTAAAATACTCCAGGATGGATAGATGTTCTGAAGATTACCCTTCTGTTAGACTTTTCCTCCAAAAAACATTGTGTACTTTCATTTCATTGAGGAGAATGAGAAAATGCTACTCTAATAAAATAAGTTTATGTTAAAATGAGTACAATATTGTATACTGATATTTACCGTTTCCTGGATTTACTGAATTTAAAGACCAAAAATACACATAAAGCTTTTATGTTATCATTTCCTTGTGTTCCACCTGTAGTTTCTTATATGACATTTTATAGAAGCTAACATTTCTGACTCCACTTTTATAATGACTTAGAATTACTAAAGAGGATTATCTGCTTATCATAGAGGAAATGAAATCTTTGAAAGTATTTGACTATCTCATTTAAGAAATGTGGAATATCATCTGTCTTTCTTAAGTGCATCAAAGCTAGTATTTTATCTCAGAAATGAGCAAGCAGGCGAAAATGAGTGTTTTCTATCTTACACTGACCACTGGTTTCTGAAATTTTAATACTATTTCCACTTTGCTACTTTAAAATCAAAATAGATTTTTAAAAATCTTTGGGGAAATAACTTTACTTTCCTTTATGCTCCATCCTGAAGAACACACACTTAGAATTCAATAAATAATAAATAATATAATAATACAGTCTGACCTTAGAAAATCTCTTTTCACTCCCAATATGTATTTCTAGAATCTGTATTTTAGCTTGTCAGAAAAAATCCGTAAATTGGCCTTCCTACAAATCAGTAGGAAGTCAAGATTCATGCCTGACTCATGGGAAACAGAAGGGCAACTGAGGCAGAGAAGCCCCTGCATTCTTCTTTAATTTACATTAGTGCTGTTCAAGGGACATGGCATTTATTGGTCAAAGATGGATACTTTCTGAATAAATGAGTGAATGAATGAATAAATGAATGAATGATCAATGCTCAGTTATACCAGTACATGGAAAAACACTAGCTACCATCCACTGAGCTCCCCTCGTGGGCACATACTGTGTCTCCTGTTGCCTTTGCACTTTCCATGATGGGGGAGATAAGCTGGGGGGAGGATTATCCCATCTCCAGTGTTATTTTGTCTTCCCCCAAGTTGTCTGAGAGATTTTTGTTCCTCCTTCCCCACCTTGTCCAGGAGCGGCTTCTGCTCTCCCTGCTGCCAGCCCACATCGCCATGGAGATGAAAGCAGAGATCATTCAGAGGCTGCAGGGTCCCAAGGCGGGCCAGATGGAGAACACAAATAACTTCCACAACCTGTACGTGAAGCGGCATACCAACGTGAGGTAGGGCGCTGGGCTTGCGCCTTGGCTGGTCTGGGAGTCTGTTTGCCTGACTGGAGACGTTTTGCCTGAGATCTCACACCTCACATCACCATCTCTTCTTTGTGACAGTGGATCCTTTGCAGGGGGACGAATCACCAAGATTCTGCCACCCCACTCACCTGCTGCTGCCCCTCGGGGTCTTCACACTAAGATTAGAAAATAGGGTGCTGTTTCCTGTATTGGATTGAGTTGTCCTTCACAGCCCTGGCTTCTGTGGCCAAGCATCCATCACAGAAAGGAGTGAAGGGGACAGCAGGGTTTTCATTCTGGAAACCCTGTGATCAGATTACAGTAAGATCAGAGGGAGAGCCTGTGGGATCTCCAGGCACAAAGACTGAGTCCTCCAAATGGACTTTGCAGGAGCAGGGCATCCATGAAGCCATCAGCATGATGAGTTTCTTGGGTCTGGAAAACCAGCGACCAAAGTCACGGGACATTGATGCGTACCTCAGTTAATTTACTGTGAAAGTTACTGCCTTTCTGAGATTGGCATACCTACTTCCCACGGGGTCACAGTGCCTAGAAAACTAACATGTTTTCATCATGGGATTGTAGTAGGGAAGGAGGTTGGTGTGGGGCCTCTGTCTCCCATGAGCTCTAGAGAGGAATAGTGAGAGGGACTCACTTCAGGCTGGAGGGGATCCTCCCTCCCATTTCTCTCCTGCCCCTGTCTCTCAGCCACAGCAGGGTGAGGCCCACCCAGACCAACACCAATTTCTGTGCCCCTCCCATTCCCAGGACCACTTCTTTTGGGGGTTTGCTCTTTTATCCACTCCATATGTTAATACGCTGCTTTCCATTCTAGCTGGGTGTATTTGGCCACTCTTACAATGCTATAAAAAACTACCTGAGACTGGACAATTTATAAGGAAAAGAGGTTTAATTGACCCAAGTTCTGCAGGCTGTACAGGAAGCATGGCTCCGGAAGCCTCAGGAACCTTATAATCATGGCAGAAGGTGAAGGGAAGCAGGCATGTCTTAAATGGCCAGAGAAGGAAAAAGAGGAAGAGGAAGGTGCCACACACTTTTAAACACTCAGATCTCATCTCGTGAGAACTCACTCACTATCATGAGAACAGCAAGAGAAAAAGCTGCCCCTCTGACCCAATCACCTCCCAGGCTCCTCCTCCAACCCTGGGAATTACAATTCGACATGAGATTTGGGTGGGGACACAAATCCAAACCCTATCACTGAGTTATCTCCGTAAGTAACCTGTGCATGTATCTGACCTCACTCGGTATGTTTTGATGGTCTTAGTTTAGTCATTAGAGTTTTTAGAAGAGCCAGGCTGCTTCGGGTCTAAGTTTTTTGAAGCTTGTTAATAAGAAACAAATTTACCTGTAATTTAAAGACATTGCTAGGGCAAATCCCACTTGACATCAGATTTTAGAAAAGCTATATAAGACCCAAGCATACACAGATGTCAGTGTGATATAGAAAACTCTTATCAGGAAGGAGGTAACAGAAACACATTTATATATGAGTAGGAACTAAGGAAGCACAATTGGATACATGATAGTAAAAGCTACATTTAAAGAAAGTTTACACATGTTAAGGAGTAAAATTATTTTAAATACTGGCTTGCCTTCAGTTTTGTGAGCATTTTGACTATACAATTATAGAAGAAACATTCAGTTGTCTGACTAAGTGTATTATTCTATTAATGGCTCTTTCTAGCCTTAAATGTCTGAAGTTCAGCATTGCCCCTCTGATCTTGGGAAATATTTTTAAGTCACTTTTTGACTGCTCAAGTGTATCTGACCCCTTGGCCTTGCCCTCCCTCTTAAGGAATTTTCCTATCCCTTGATCTCTTGGCATTGTATTCCCTCAGTTTTCTCCTGACAGTCTGTTTTGTTCTTTTCTTTACCCTAAATCAAGGCCCTCCTGTAAATGAGAGTATGTTGGGGGCTTTCTCTTACCTCCTCTCTGTTTCTCTACAATCCTCTACAATTCCAGGACTTTAATTCCCATCTAAATGATGCTCATACACAGGCCTCAACCACAGCTTTCCATATTCACCTACTTAATGTGTATCTAACGCACCACCATCAAACACAACACAACCAAAGTTGGGCTAGTCATCTTTCCCTACACACTTTTTTGATTTGCACAGGCCTAGATTTCTGAACTCCATTGCTTAGCCAGAAATCAGTCTTCATTTTAATGCTTTCCTCTCCCAGACAACCCCCGTACAACATCAAATTAGTGACAAACCTAGTTCATTCCTCATCCTATCTCCCACGTGTGTCCACTTCTATTTCATCATATTATAGACCTTCAATGGGGCTCTCCAGGGTTCCAATGATATAGTTCTAACTGGCCTGCCAGCTTCCAGGTTGCCACAGTAGAGATGATCTTTCTAAAGTGGCATTATGGTCAGACTCCAGGTGGGGCTTCCTTCCTCTGTGGTCCGATAAGTGCACTGTGCTTTCTCTCCCATAATGCTTTGCTTCTTTGCACTTTGCATCACAATTGTCTGCTTACTTTTTTAATTCCTTTGCTGCCAAATAACCCCTGGACCACCTTAAGGTATATCCAGGCAGCCTATCTCAGAGCTGCTTTGTTCACTGTAGGTTTTGAGCGCAGGAAGCACTGCGGCTGGTGTGAACAAGAAGGAAGTGGAGTTAACTGCCCATGTGCACATGCTGCCTCTTGATACTGCTTAGAATCAGGGACTCTTTCTCCGAGCGAGCATTGTTCATCCTATCTCTTGGACAATGGCTCAGCACTTGTGATCCCTGCCACTATAGGTTAGCATGGAAGAAACAGGGATGACTTTTAGGGGATCATCTGAACAGAGTGGAGAGTAGAGCTGCCCTAGAAACCCTGATTTTCCTGTACCTATCAGAGGTTCCTGCAGCTCGTGCCCATCAGCAGAGGAGCAAGTATTTCCCCCAAGGTGCAGCCAGGCATCCTGGGATCAGTGCAAGGAGCAGAGTATGGCCAACAGCAGAGTCCTGCCCTGCCCTGGCTGACACCCTGCTGACTGGTGCCCCTTTTTGTATTTTTTATTGTTGTAAAATATGCATAGCATGACATTGACAAATGCAATTGTTTTTAAGTGCACAGTTTGGTTGGATCACAAACACCTACGTTGTTCTACAACCATCACTATTCTCCATCTCCAGAACTCTTTCTTCATCCCAAACTAAAGCTCCAAACCCATTAAACAACAACTCCACACCCCCCTTCCCAGGCCCCAGGCAACCAGCATTTTAGTTTCTGTCCCTGTGGTGTGACTACACTGTATGCCCCATATATGTAGAATCACACAGCATTTGTTCTGTTGTATCTGACTTATTTTACTTAGTATAAGGTTTTCAGGAGTTGCAGCACATGTCGGGATTTCATTTCTTTTGAAGGCTGCCTGATATTCATTGTATGGATAGAACACATTCCGTTTATTCATCCGTCAATGGACGTTTGGTTTGTTTCCATCTTTTGGCCATTGTGGGTACTACAACTATGAACATCCGTGTGCAAATATCTGTTCAAGTTCCTGGTTTCAGTTCTTTGGATATATACCCAGAAGTGGCACTGCTGAATCATATGGTATTTTGTTTAACATTTCTGAGGACCGCCCATATTGTTTTTCATGGTGGCTGCATCATTTTACCCTCCCACCAGCAAGGCACACTTATTCCCATTTCTCCAGGTTCTCATCCACAACCATTATTTTTGCGTTTTATAAGAACCTTCCTAATGGCTGTGAAATGGTAGTTATTTTTGCTCCGTGGTACATCTTCAGTCATAGATATTCACTCTGTGAATCTCAAACCACCAGCAGAAATGTAGGCCTCTTTATAAGGCCTTGATACGAATCAGAAACATGTTATTGTGTAGGACAAGTTGCAGTGCACACAGGGTGCTGTGTTTTCCTATTTTAAACATGTAAAAAGCACTAAGGAATTTCACACTCCTCTTCACTAGTGAGTATATCCCATGAAGGGAAGCTGCTCTGTCATTTCCTAAGAGTGACCTTCCCAGACTCCTCACTGTCTAATCTGTCCCTGCTCTTCTGTCTCATAACACTCTCTCGTTTTCCTTTGTAACCCTTTTTATGATTTATAATTGGACATCTGTTGAGGTCCACATTTGTTCAATACGTTGTCCCAGCTTAATTCTGAACGTCAGGAAAATATTCCATGCCTGCTTCATCCTGGCAGTTAGGAAGGACTCCAGAATCATTTAAGTAATCTTTTTAAAAAAGGATTATTATTCCCATTTCTTCCTTGACTCAATATAAACAGAATTTGTTTTTTTAAATTATTTTGCTGCTTCACTCCCATCTTAACTACAAAAGTTTAATCTTAAAAAATGTTTAAATTAACAAGTTTAAAAAAATGTTTATATATTCTCTATCCAGGAAAATTACATCTTTCTCATGAAAATATAAAGTGCAAACAAAATTACATGATTTTATTGGAAAAATTATCATTACTTTATTTAAAATATATATATATAATCTAGAAAACTCTGTCTGCATACCTCCTTTCTTCCTACAGCATCTTATATGCTGATATCGTTGGCTTTACCCGGCTGGCAAGTGACTGCTCCCCAGGAGAACTAGTCCACATGCTGAATGAGCTCTTCGGAAAGTTTGATCAAATTGCAAAGGTGAGTATTATAGATTCCCTTCCGCGTTGAAGATTTCTAAACTCTTGGCTTCGTTTTTCTTCATCCACCTATCAATAGTTTACTTTTTCATAAAAGCATCCTTTAGGAAGATTGTTTGTAAAAGTTGCTGGATTTCTTTGCCATTGATGTTTGATGAGCCTCAAACCTGTCTCAGGGATGAAAAATGCCATGGCATATCATTATCATGTTTTTATCTATTTTAAAACTTCCTCCTATGTATAATTCAGCACACATGTAATAAATACATTCCAGGCAGTGAGCTCCAACTTGCAAATCCCTCTTCGTGGTACTGTTTTAAGGTGCTCTCTTAGGCATTTCCGTGTCCAGGATCTGGTATGACCCTTTCCACTCCTCCAGTTGCCAGCATCCTCTATTCCTATTGTTAAGCTGAACCCTGGAAGAGCCCCTGAAATAGAATGTGCACCTTCCATGCAAAGCCTTTACTGACTCTTGTCTCATTTTTATCCTTTGATTCTTTTGCCTCTTAAACAAAGATGGAAGTTCAGAGTCTTCCACTCATATGCTCTTCCATGGGAAATTTCACAGATAGGAATGATGTAAAACCATCTGAAACCACACTAGACCCTATTACTTTTTAGAACTGCCACAATTGCTGGTGGCAACGTCAGTGACAAAAAGTTTCTTCCTGCAAGCCCTGTACTTCCTGTTAAATGTTTCTGGTTGGCCTAATTCTCTCTTTGAATTGTTCCCAACAAAAAAGTGCTTCATTTTGCCTAGCAATATCAGTGATTTATCTGTGGAAGAATTGGTCCTAAATTTAGTTCATTGTGTGATTTAGATCACTTTTAAACAAGACAGCACATTCCAGTCAAGTCTCTTAGGAAGAAATCTGGCTTGCAGATGTTAGCATGGTCATTCTTAGGCCAAACTCCCCAAGTTTGTCGCCTTCTGCAGTTCCACTGACCTTGACAGCTCTCTCTGTGGATTTTAAAACATCAGTAAAAGCACAGGCCTGCTTCCTTCCTTTACCAAGCCAAAGTGAAGGGGGTGAGTTCTATGGGTGTTCATTTATAGGAGAAGAAAGGTTGAAACCTAAATGATGTCTTAAAAGTCTGAATTAATAAAAGGTCATTTTTGCTGGACTACCTGTTCACGTTAGGAAGAAACGTTTCAATCTTGGCTGGGAACAACGTCACTCCAATGTTCAGATGACATTCTCTCCTCTAGGTGCCTGTCTCAGTGTTCAAATGACTCTTCTTAGAGGATAAACCCCCGCCCCCCCAACTCCAGTTCTGCCTCCTCTTGACTAATTAAATCTGCGACAGCCCTACTGCCAAATAGGTTCACATTCACAGGTATCAGGACTAACTTCAACATGCGAATTCGTAAGGACATAATTCATTACCCATAAAAGAGGTACTTGACATGACTTCCTGTAATCACTGGAACAAAGGAGTTTACAACCTTAGCTGATTCTCCATCCCTTGGTTTATCCATCATTGGTCAGAGGCACAGTGTGCCTTCACATGAGTTCATGGTTCACAGTTCACTAATGGGGGGTTATTGTCAGAAAACAGATACTCCAATGCACTGAGTATTTTTTATGTAAAGCATATAACTTTATACTAAAGAACTCAAAAGCATTGCGATTCACTCTAACTCATGTTTTCTAGTCTCAGAATATCTTTTTAGGAAGTATGGGAGGGAAGCTTGATTAATATGTAATTGTTTACCTTTTCCTTATTTATGATATTGCCGTCAGGAATTACTAAGCACATCGTAGGTATCTGTAGTGCTGTAGATACCTATGAAAATATGTCCTGTTTGTGCACCATCAAACAGGGAAAGAAACAGGCAAAATATTCAGCAAACCTAACACATGCTTAAGAAGGTGTATTCACTTGATTATTTCAAATTTGTTCAGTTTATACATAAGCCTGTGTTTGTGTTAGAGAAAAAAATGCCTGTGTTTGGTACATCATTTTTGTTTTTGTTTTTCTTTTACTTTACTGAAGAGTCTGGAAGCTGGATCAAAAGTTTAGAAACAAATATAGGGTCGACATATATGAATGCAGTTAATCTAAATATTAAAATATAAATATAAAATTTAGCCCAGAAAGATAATGAGTTAGTCAAATTTTATTTTGAAACAGTTGAGCCTAAGATGAGAATTAAGTGTAAGTTACTTGGCTCTGTTGAATGGTAGCTTATTAGGTGTGGCAATATCTATCAGAAGCGACATGTCTGTAGGTAAGAATCTGCTTTGGCTTTACAATACTTGAAAGGAACTATAAGGACAGTAGGGAAGGACATGAGATTCTAATTCCTAGAGTGCTGGTCATCATCTTCTACTCTGAAAGACTCAGCTCTGCATAGAATGCTTATTTCACCATCAATGTTTGGAGCTGCTCAGACTAAAGTGATTGGCCCCATCCCCATCCTTCTTTGCTTTTATGAAGTAAAAATCATTCCAGAACATTCTCTCTTATTTCCCATATTTTCCCTTTTCCTTATTTATCCCGCTTTGGAAATTGGCACATAGGGGAGGGCAGCTCATTCTGGTTGGGTAATGAAGGGAAGCCCAATTGGTTCTCACTGCCCTCTCCAGACATCCCTGGAATGTCGTGAGCAGAGCAGGCACTTGATGATATTAGGTAAACCTAGACCATTTTGCAAGTGCTTAATGCAACTGAAATTTGGTAATTTGTTCTTCCAGGAGAATGAATGCATGAGAATTAAAATTTTAGGAGACTGCTATTACTGTGTATCTGGACTTCCTATTTCTCTCCCTAACCATGCCAAGAACTGTGTGAAAATGGGACTGGACATGTGTGAAGCCATAAAGTAAGTGGACTGCTTAGTAAGCATTTTTTTCAACTGTCCTAAAATTTGGAGTTGTATATCTCACCCGTGACTATTTCTATTGTTCTGCCTACTGGCATTAAATACATTATTGTGCATTTAATATAATTGTGCAGAAACCCATTTATTGGCATGTGAGTAACACAATGGAAAATAAGACTTCATTATTTAGTATTATTTTTGTTTGTTTGTTTTTGAGATAAGGTCATGCTCTGTCACCTAGGCTGGAGTGCAGTGACATGATCATAGCTCACTGCATGCAGTCTCTATCTCCCCCTGAGCCCAAAGCAAACCTACCACCCCAGCCTCCCAAGTTGCTGGGACCACAGGCAAGCACCAACACGTCAGCTAATTTTTCTATTTTTTGTAGAGACAGAGTCTCCCTGTGTTGCCCAGGCTGGTCTTGAACCCCTAGGCCCAAATAATCTGCTTGTCTTGGCCTCCCAAACTGTTGGCATTGTAGGTATGAGCTGCCTGACTCAGCCTAGTATTGCTACTATGAGCCTTAGATTACAGTAATACTGAGTTGGAAATCTGTAAGACGGGACAGTTTTGTTTCAAAAGCTTTTTGTTTTTGTTTTTTGTTGTTGTTGTTTGAGATAGCACCTTGCACTGTCACTCAGGCTAGAGTTCAATGGTGCAATCTGGGCTCACTGCAACCTCCGCCTCCCAGGTTCAAGTGATTCTTCTGCCTCAGCCTCCCAAGTAGCTGGGACTACAGGCACCCGCCACCATGCCCGGCTAATTTTTGTATTTTGGGTAGAGACGGTGTTTCACCACATTGGCCAGACTGATCTTGAACTCCTGACCTTGTGATCTGCCCACCTCGGCCTCCCAAAGTGCTGAGATTATAGGCGTGAGCCACTGCGCCCAGAGTCAAAAGTGATTTTTTTTTTGAATTTTGAATGTCTTCTGTGATCTTAAGATAAAAGTGTGCACATGTTATCATCTTTCCAATTTCTGACAAATTCTATGGCTCCACACACATGGTAAGGGAAGATGTGGGTTTTACAGCCAGACTGCAGTTACTTTAAAAATCCAATATGAAAGATTTTCTTCTAGTCAAAAATGCTCAGCTCTGTGAATTTAATTTCAATTTGTATTGGTAACATATATTTTCTGCATTGTATCTATAATTTTTTCACTGTGATTCCAGAGAAGATCTGCTTATATAGAATAATGATGTCATTTTCATTGATTGGTACAAGGTAAAAATATAGGGTAAAAAAGGTAATTTTATTGCCAGCACCACAATTTTATTAACAGAGCTCTCTCTCTTTTTTTTTTTTTTTTTTTTTTTTTTGAGACAGAGTCTCTCTCTATTGTCCAGGCTGGAGTGCAGTAGTGCAATCTCAGCTCACTGCAACCTCCACCTCTCCTAGGTTCAAGCGATTCTCCTGCCTAAGCCTCCTGAGTAGCTGGGACTACTGGTGTGTGCCACTGTGCGCAGCTAGTTTTTGTATTTTTGATAGAGACTGGGTTTCACCATATTGGTGAGGCTGGTCTTAGACTCCTGACCTCATGATCTGCTTTCCTGGGCCTCCCAAAGTGCTAGGATTATAGGCTTGAGCCACCACACCCGGCAGCAGTACCTTATTTAGTAATGCCCTTTGTAGAAGCCAGAATATTCTTATAAATAATAAAGCCTGTTGTTTGCTGACTGCATGATTGGAATATTGTACCTTATTGAGTTTTTGATTGTCCATTTTGGTCAAATAATTTGACCTTATCCTCAACATTTTTTTAAAAAATCTGGACAGAGTTGGAATTATGAGCTTGATATTCTCATTCCCTGTCTCGGGATTAAAGTAGAAAGGGCTTTATGTGAGAAGACAACATGTCCTGTTGTCACTGTGTTGGTAACATGATGAAGTGACTAAAATGTTAACAGGTGACTTTCCCAGAATGGTCTTGGGAAGATTAATGCCTGCCGCCTCCACCCCTACCCCCCCTACACACACAGAGACCACCTCAGCCAATGAAATGGAGACACCTGCATGTTCCAAGTTCACTAGCTCAGTAGCAGACTCCTGCATGATTTTGTCAGGCAGATCAGGAATGGGAGGTAAATGAAGTCGATGAGAGAGTTGCTATGGGAAGAGTGGTTAGTGTGAACCCAGTTTCCTACACAAAATGCATCAGGTGAGAAATAGCCACAATTGTGTCTTCCCATAAGTCAATCATGTATATTCTCTGATACATGAAAAATATTTTTTAACTTTTTTTCAAAAGTAAATAACTACCTATAAGTCTGTGAATCTAGATGTAAGTGAATCCAATCAGTGGAACTCGTCGTATTTTTTAAATTTGTAACCTGCCTCTGGTGACAGCCTCAATGTTGGTTTTAAACATAAGGCAAAATGAGTTCTATGGAGGAAAGTGTTTTTCTTGATTTCCTTTTCAAGTAGTTGTGGAAGAGTCTTATGAAGGGCAAAATTATGTGCATTAATAACACACTGGATTAAAGAATCCACCCATTTACTAAAGCCTTGTTTCTGCTTTTGAATCAACTGTGTTCCAGTTCCATAATGTTTAAGTTACTCCAATGTCTTGAAGGTCTCTTAGGAGAAATAATCCTTACATTACATTCATTGGACTATCACCAGTGCATCAAAAATACTATTATAATTTTTACTGTGATAAAATATGTATACTATAAATCTTACCCTTTGAGTCATTTCATGTGTATATAAAAATTTACAATGATGCATAAAAATATACAGTGATACAGTACACATAAAAATGTAAAATTATGTGCAGTGATGTTGAGTATTTTCGAAATGTTGGGTAACCATCACCACTGTCAACTTCCAGAACCTTTCATCACCCCAGACAGAAACTCTGTACCCATGAAGCAGTAACTCCCCATTACCTCTTTCCCAGCCCCTAGTCACCTCTAGTCTACTTTCTGTCTCTACGATTTTTCCTATTCTGGATATTTCATGTAAGTGGCATCATATATCTGTCCTTTTGTGTTTGGCTTCTGTCACTCAGCCTAGTGTTGTCAAGGTTAATTTCTGTGGTGGCATGTGTCAGCACTGCATTACTTTTGAAGACAGGATAACATTCCCCTGTAGGTGGAATATTTTATTTATTTTTTCATCATTGATTCATCAGTAATATCTTATGTGTACAGAATCTAAGTAATGTCAACAGGTTTGAGGGACCTCTCCCAATTCTTGCTGACCCCTCAACTCAGTCCTCAAGTTAGGCAATGGCTTTGCATCCCTGTTACCTGCCACCTGTGGACCAAAGGATCCCACATTCTTCCTCTGTTTGTTTCATGTATGGTAGACAAGGTGATCATAAAAATGTTATTTGGGGCTGGGCGTGGTGGCTCATGCCTATAATCCCAGCACTTTGAGAGGCCAGGGCGGACAGATCACCTGAGGTCAAGAGTTTGAGACCAACCTGGCCAACATGATGAAACCCCGTTTCTACTGAAAATACAGAAATTAGCTGTGCATGGTGGCACACACCTATAATTTTAGCTATGCAGGAGGCTGAGGCAGGAGACTCACTTGAACCCAGGAGGTGGAGGTTGCAGTGAGCTGAGATCACACCACTGCACTCCAAACTAGGCAGTAGAGCAAGATTCTGTCTCAAAAAAAAAAAGTTTTGTGACACCTTCACAAAAAGCAGCAACAGAGAGGGCATCTCAGCAGTTTCAGGAGTTGTTTGTCCACTTTCATCCTCTCTCCCATGCAAGGACGTGCATTTGCATTCACATTCACTGAGCTATGAGGTGGGTTGGATACCAGACAGGAATTTTCATGTTTTAAGCATGCGGGTGGTATGTGCACACCTGGCACTTGGGTTTTTGCCGAATGGTCTCGGTTTCATGGGAACCAGCAGCATGAGTCCCAGACGGCTGCCTGCTCTTCCCTGTGTTCACACTGCATGCGTAGCAGCACCCCATTCCCTGCTAGCCCCAGCACTGCTGCAAAGGCACTTCAGCTGCAGCTTTGGAACATTTCCAATGCTTAGAAGCATTTCTGTTTTCTGTCATGAACATGTAAATTATTTTTAATCAAGTAACATTCAGGACCTTGATTTTAAAATAGATTAAGGCTTCTCTTAAACTGTAATGTTTACCTACTACTATTGCAAGCTTTAAACAATGACTTCAGCATTTTTCTATAGATCATGTAAATTGCATACACATGCAACAAAACATGTGGCCAGTCAATTCGTCTGAAACCATGGTCAACTCATTTTTTAAAAAAAGACAACGTGGGGATGATTTTAATGTTTTAGAATCAATTCTGTCAAATGGCCAAACTGAGACGCCTTTCTCCTCCCTTTTTATCCTTTCTTGGCTCTCTCCTGGCCTATTTTGGCAAACAAACGCCACGTGGTTGGAAATGCCCTCTCAACAACATAAAAGGTTAAGAACAGTTATGAGTCTCTAACAGATTTTTTAGGATCATCATTGCTCAAAGACGAAGCACAGTACATTTTTCAAAAATAACCTTGGTCCATTAGTAAACTTGTATGAAGTGATGCTGTTGCATTGGGCCTTGAACCCTTTGAGAGGTAAACAACCCATTTAGAGGAGGTTGTGTCCACCCAAGTTAAATTTCTGCTGAGGGCAGAGATGAAGACAGAAAGGGAGTGCTAATTGTCCTCAGGGCAGTTAGAGGACAGAAGCAGTGGGGCTGCCTGGACCAGCCTAGAGGGGACAAAACATCCTTTCCGTATGGGACTGCGCCTGAGTCTGAAGGACAATGCCAGCTGGCCACTTGACACCAAAGGGAGGCTTGAGGGTGTGGGGAGCAGGAAGAGGAGTTATTATAAGCAAAGTCCAGAGGTGGGGATGCCCTGGTGCTCACACAGCCACAGCCTGCAGATGCAGGGCAGAGGGGTGGGGATGGATCTCCTTGTCCTGTTGATGCTCTAACTCATTTTATGGGGCAGGAAGAAAAGGTTTGGATGATTGCGTAGAACCAAATGAGTAGCTGGGTTTTTATTTTTGCAAAAACAAGAAGGGAAGAGAGAGAAAAAAAAAAAGAGAGGAAACGGGAAGCAAAATATCTTTCTAAATTATTTTTTCAGAATGCAACTTTTTTATTGCAAATTGTTTTATGACAATAACTCAGCATTTGTGTGTGGAATACCCATGCATAGGGGAAGACTATGAAACTCACTTGTTACTCACACACATTTGTTTATAAATACATATATACACACACACATAAACATATCAACACCAACTATTTTTTTCCAAAATTCAAGTCAATTTAGTGGCAGAGAGATGATATAAAAACATTTTTAGATGCCACAGTTGTGTGAACCATTGATTTTATCATACAACTGAAGTATAGCCATCTTGAATTCTACCTGTATTAAAGTCGATCATTTTGTTACCAATGCAAGGTTTAAAGCTACAAGTCTATACACAGAGGTGGTCCTTCATCAGCTCTGAGAACATTAACAGTTGTGAGAAGAAAATCCAATCTGGAAAACCGGCAATCATTATGCCCCTTCTTTATCTTTTCTGTTAAACCTGCATTCTCAGTCAACTAAAAAATGTTTTCCATACCTGAGAACATCAGATGTTCTCTGATGAGGATTTTGGAACATAAGTAGAACCACTTTTCCTTCCCGTCAACCCATATTTCTCTCCTGAAAAACAGTTTTCAATACATTTATATATTCCATGATGAATAAGAGTAGATTAGACTGATCCATGAATTCTAAAAAATTGACTTTCCTATGTCATACTTGTTAAAAGGTGAAGAAAAAGATAAACAAGGTAGATAGGCTAATAAAATAGGCATACTCAGAAACAGAGAGTAAAAACGACTGAGGGTCAAACACATCTTGAATTTTGACTGTTTATCAAATAGTAGACTTCTACACATTGACAAGTGTGGTGAATTGTACTTTCCAAACAATTTATTTTTATGATAACTGACAGGCATATCTTTCTTTTTGAGGTGATGTAACCTTACCTCTGTCAGCTGCACAAAACACCTGACAGGGCTTTCTAAGCTATTTTTACTTCCTACTTTGGTATTAAGATCTTACATGAAAACTTGTTGCTCTGTAGCCAATAAAAGCAGATATTCACAGACTTGGTTTAAATACACAATACTGGCAATCCAGATTTAGAATAAAGAGCTAGACTAAAGCGTATTATTCATAGGTCGGCTAAGCCTACTCCTTACCCAGACAGCTTTACTCCAATATCACTAAAACTTATTCTCAGGGGGTACAGAGCAAATAAGAGAGAATATGTGATGGAGAACATGCAATTGGAATAGTGGATAAAGATGCTCACACATGAGTTCAAGACCTTCAAAGCACTTTGAAAGAAGCAAGCAACTGATTACATTAACTGAATGCTCACCGTAGGAGAGGGTACAGTGATGACAGAAAATTACATACAGATGTACACAATGAACACACATACCCATGAGCCATGTCCTGAAAATACCAGAATGTGATTTATTTTTACATTGTGGGTCCATTTCTTTTTATCATTTTTAGCATGCTAAAATGGTATCATTATATCATTTAAGCATGACATACATGCCTATGCCATTTTGAGATGGTGATGACTCAATTCACTACAATTCACAAGTGATAGTGTCTTCCTTTTATTGTACTGCAGTCGGCATCATTGCTGCCCTCCACATTGCCTCTTGGGGTAATTCTCTTGATGTAACTAGGAACATCTTCCTATATACTTCTTTTGCAATACTACCTTAATGTATTCAGATAGCAAGAGTAAATAAGCATTACCAAGCCTTTCCATTTGTTTCTTCCATGAAGTTTATCCCTTTTCTCTGTTAATGAGTTGGTGATAGGGTCCTAAAAGGTATTTTTTCTCTTTTCGTTAAAGAATGTGCACAACTGAAAAGACTTAATGACATGATTATTTTTCTAAAAATGCTCATTTAGGCCAAAGTCATTATTAAGTTCACAAATGAGCTATATTCTTCACTTATTAGTAGAAGATATTCATTGGAGATGTACATTGTGCTAAATGCTAACGTTACAAATAGTGCTTAAGACTATTTCTTACATTACAAGGCAATGTCACGTGATTCTAGTATGGAAATGCAGACGTGCCAGCACATTGTAGGTGTTTGATACAATTCTTTGCAAAAGTAAAAGTGATAGCCAAAATGTTTTGTCATCACTCTAGTCTGGCCTGATCTGGCTTCAATAGCAAGAACATAGGTCTAATCTGGAGTGACTGGAAGGAAAAGCCCTTTCTCTTAGCTCAGAGAAGTGGTCTCTTGCCACAGGAGGGTTCATGGTCATTTCCAACAGTCTGAGAAATTCCAAATAATAAAATGCTGGGAAAATTGACCAAGAGTCAAAGGAAGCAGTGGATGTTACTTGATCATGATCTCACTTCCCTCCTCTTCAGGAAAGTGAGGGATGCTACTGGAGTTGATATCAACATGCGCGTGGGTGTGCATTCTGGGAATGTCCTGTGCGGCGTGATTGGTCTGCAGAAGTGGCAGTATGATGTGTGGTCCCATGACGTGACCTTGGCCAACCACATGGAAGCTGGAGGGGTCCCTGGGTAAGACCCAGCGTTGATTTCTTTCTTCAGGCAGGCAGCGTGGTTAGGAATGACAGGTCATCAGGCTAACAACGGAGTGCTCAGTTTTTGATGACTTCCGTTGCCTCTGTTGGTATCACGTTACTCACACCCAATGGCACCTCATGTTAAGCAGATAAACATGAACTCTCAAATCCCTACACTGCGACCCCTCTTGTCCATGGTTCAAAGACTGAATATCAGACGGTAAAATACACACTTTTACTTACTTGCAAATTCAGGAATAGAGACCTGATTTAAAGATGTTTTACAATAAAGTCCAGATATGGCATCTGTCTAAAACTGTTGACCTCTAAAACCAGTACATTAAAATTAGTAAGGACAGAATCCTTCTCTGGGCAGAATAACGTATTTCAGTCAAGAGAATCCTTATCCAGGGCTATGACTGAAAGAAGCATGAGAGCAAGCACTGAGAAAATCTACACTACTATACAGATTAGCATGCTTCCTGAAATGTGCTTAACATACATTTCAAAAGATATTCTCACAAAAATTCAAGGTAATCAAGTTGCATTTGCTGTAATTCACCACACCCACCATGCAGGTTTCTGTGAGTGCAGAGAAACTCCAAAATTAGTAGCTCACAACCTCTAAAAGCATCTTTGCAAAGCAGTGGCCAACAGAATATAAACTTTAATTGCGGTCAGTGCTCCCAAGGACATGTAGACTTTCATTCATTTGGTGGATACAGTATTTCGGAAATCACGAACAAATAGAACATCTTTCTTCACATTTATCCTTTTATGTCTTGACTGTGGTTTTAAAATGCAATTTCAGACGTGTTCACATTTCTTCCGTCACCCTGGAGCACTTGAATGGCGCTTATAAAGTGGAGGAGGGAGATGGTGACATTAGGGACCCATATTTAAAACAACACCTGGTGAAAACCTACTTTGTAATCAACCCCAAGGTCAGTATCATTGTCAAGGGTCTATGATGAAAAGGGAAGAGGAGCAAATTATTTATATTCATACATGTTTTTAGTCAATAACCAATACCATTCTTTGCTACTTTTTGTCCCCCAAATGATTTTAAATGCATATAGTGGTTTAATTACAGAAGATGCTTTGTAATCATGAATTCAAATACTTATTCAGTGAACAGTTGAAATGCATTGCTTGTCTGTAGGATGAGGGTGTTGATGCAGGATGCTAGTTCAGCCGTCGTGTCTGTTAGTCAGTGTATCCCTTGGCAGATGTTGCATCTGGAAGCCTGTCGGTGGGCACAGCTGTTGATACCTGTCAGTTGGGAAATTAAATAAAGAGAAAATAATTTGCTTAGGGCTTTAGAAGGTGAAAATCTAAGTAAAATTGAATGAGCATATAGGAAAAAAGGCGAGAAAAAATATTTGAAAGATTAACAAATAAATACTACATAGACATGCTTGTGAGATTGCGTGTATGTACAAGCATATTTACCTTCCGCAACATAAAAACGTTTGCTGCCTGGAAGATGATCCACCCCATACAAACAGTGAGGAACTATCTCTTATTTCATTTACACCACATTTAGGCCAGATCAGGGGGTTTAGAGTTCTCATTTCTTTTAACCCGCCTCAAATTCCTGCTAAATGGATATTAATAATATTTACAGATTAAGAATCTGAAGCTTTGAGGAGTCCTGTGACTCTTCCCAAATTACACAGCTGGTGAACGGTGCAAATATCAGCAAGAAAGACCTTTGAACCGTGAAAACCAATATCATAAAATCAACAAGATCAACTTTATGGACATTTACTCATGGTAGCATCTCGGAAGCCCTACTTTCACCTTTGGAGACAAACTTTCAGCTAGCTTGATGACCAATCTAGAGGCAGATGTGTGGCAAACAGCAGGGACTGGGGGATGATGGCTGAGGGGGGGAGTTCAAAAAAATACATGTACAGAGAACATTATGTTCAGGTAAAGAACACCAAAACACGATGTTTGGGGCTATTTAGCATTAGAAATAGCCCCAAATCCCCTACATCTATCACTCTAAAAAAACACAACCATCAAAAACAAGCTAAACAGATCAGCACATTCTGCTTTACGAACTTACTTAATAAAACATGCCCATTAACGTGTCCTTATGTTTTCTAAGTCTCAATGACGTGTGTTTTGCTAGCTGAAAAAAAAAATCCCTCAAATCAAATAATGTGTTCCCCAATAACACTGAAGGAATGAGGACAGAAACCACAGAGGGCAAATGGAGGGACTTCGGGAGGAATGACCCTAGTCCAATGAGGCTGATGCAGAAAGGATCGGGTATGTCCCTGTGCTGTGCCAGGTGTGATGCTTTGTTTCTCACCCCAAGGGGGAACGACGGAGCCCCCAGCATCTCTTCAGACCTCGCCACACCCTCGATGGAGCCAAAATGAGGGCCTCGGTCCGCATGACCCGGTACTTGGAGTCCTGGGGGGCAGCCAAGCCCTTTGCACACCTACATCACAGGGACAGCATGACCACAGAGAACGGCAAGATCAGCACCACGGTATGCCCTCCCCTGCCTCCAACGCCTGAGTGCTGGGGGAAAGCTAACTTCCCAAAACCAAAGGCTGGGCACCTCCTGCCAAAATAACTCCTGTCTGCAAGAGACAAGCTTACCGCCTCCTTCTTCTCAGAGAGGCCCTTATGAACAACCATCAGGGTATGAGCGAGTTCCATGCCCACATTGCTCAGGGTTTCAACCTAGTGTGATTTTGCATTATAGCTTCATAACCCAAGACAGCGTTATTTACAACTGATAGTAGCAATTAAATACAGCTATTTTTAATTGAGGTTTTTAAAAATAAATTCTATCATGAAGTGGAAAGCCTTGAGGTTTTTAATAAAAAGACAAAGGCATGATGCCCTTGGAGTTTGAGTGGTATCATCAAGCCCGTTGCTTCATTGCCCAGATGTCCAGCCTGTGTTGGCAGTAGTGCAGTGGACACTGTGTTATGATTCTGTGTTTTCCTCCAGCTTCCAGCATATGAGAAAGCACTGAACTCCTTACACCAGGGACATCTGCGATAAGACGGCTGAAATGGAGATGGAAAATAGAAAGGCCCATAGGAGGAGGGAAGAGTAAATACAACCGAGTACTTAGGATGATCCCCATAGGATTGTTAGGTTTTAAAACTATCTGGGAGTTAAATTTCATGTATAATGCTATTAACTGTGCTAAGGATGCAGTTACAATTTTTAAAAATGTAATATTACATAATTTTATTGTCTGATGAGAAGGAACGTGCTAGTTGTCAGGTGAAAGTGGAGTTTTCCAGTCGCCCTGGGTCCCCACATATTCCAAGGTCTCCAAGTGATACTCCCTTACCCAACAGGCAGGGGTTCAGCATTCATGTTTTGGTTTAGTTTTATTTCTTCTCCCAACTTCTCTTCATCTTTTTCCAATTAAAAAATAAATGTGACTATCAGACAGAAGACCATGACCTGTCAAATAATCAGTAAGAGAGCACAAGTCCTAGTGTTTGCATTTTAATAGCAAGAGAAAGACCATAGACAGAAAAACAAATAAATGAGGCCAGGCGTGGTGGCTCACACCTGTAATCCTAGCACTCTAGGAGGCCAAGAGGGGTGGATCACCTGAGATCAGGAGTTCAAGACCAGCCTGGCTAACATGGCGAAACCCTGTCTCTACTAACATACAAAAATTAGCCAGGCATGGAGGCGGGTACCTGTAATCCCATCTACTTGGGAGGCTGAGGCAGGAGAATTGCTTGAACCTGGGAGGTGGAGAATTGCAATCAGTCGAGATTGTGCCATTGCACTCCAGCCTGAGAGACAGAGGAAGAATTTGTCTCAAAAAAAAAAAAAAAAAAAAAAAAGAAAAAAAAGAAAAACAAATAAATGAATGAGATCACGTGAGGCGCTGATGAGGGCTGTAAGGGAGATAAATTGAGTGATGGCATCCGGAGTCAATGGGATGGCCCACTCTGGTAGGTCAGCTGAGGGGGTCTCAGAGAGAGAGGAGTGACTGGGAAGAGGAGGTAGCTGAAGAATAAAGTCAGTGACCCAAAGATGAAAGTGAGTTTGTTGTCCCCTGGAGACAGAGTAAGCTTCTGTAGCTGAAGCATCACGAACAACAAGCAAAGGGAGGTCATGGAGTGAGATGCCCCATGGCAAAAGCTTATATTGCATTCTGTGTGCAATTGGAAGTCGTGGAGAATCTTAAGCAAGGGATGGTCATGATATTATTTAGGCTTTGGGAAAATGTAGCAAGAGTGCAGGGGTCCCCAGTAAGAATGATACCCCCTTATGCTAAGAGGTTAGCCATGGAAGCAATGAGAAGCAAACACAGGGGCTAACGTGAAAGTAGAGCCAATAAGACTTGGCAATGGGTTGGATATCCATGAACATTAGGAACAGAGATACATCCAGACTTTTTGGCCCCACAACTGGAACAATTATGATGCCATTGATTGAGATGAACAATACAAGGGGAACATCAGGTTATTTCAGATGGAAAATTAATGCTTTTCTGCTGGACATCTTCTAATCCATAGTTAAGTGCCGCTGGGACGTAGATGGCTGGCTCTGCACGTCCAGAACTCATGGGACAGGTCCAAGATAGAGGCATGCGTGTGAACATCATCAGGTTGTAGATGATATTTGAAGTAGTGGCACTGGATAAAATCATCAAGAAGAGAACAATCCAAGGAGGGAGGCCTGGGGCAGCTGGGGCCTTTCAGCATTTAGATCTGTTAGAGAAACTGCATCCTAGAGCTCCAGTATCCAACCAGTGAAAGCCTATGCTCCTGTCACTCATGAAAAACACTGATTTGGATAAGTTAGCCTCCGTCTTGCTAGTTAGTGCTATGTCTGATAACTACATTTTCTGTTGAGATTTATTGTACACCAGCAACTTATCAGTTGATTGGTTGGTTTCTAAGAAATAAGAATCATATATAAATACTTGAATGTGATTTCCTGTGCTGTTTTTCATGTGTTTCTGTTGGGGGGAAAGGCCTGCTTTTCCAGGTATGTTGTTGTTGATGATTTCTCATCAGCCTTTATTGTCCTAAGACTTAAGGGTGACTGTCTCTTTTATTATCTGAGCCAGGGACCCAGGAATGGTTTCAGTCTGACTTTAGCCTGGTGTTATGTGTTGATAAAGATGCCTTCTTCAAGATACGGCTAGAACCGTTGAATGCCTCAACTTCAGGAAGTTGTTTATAAAAATCAAAGGACCTCTTGAGCGAACTCTATTTTCTTAACCACCTGGTCCCACCTGTTGCAGGTTCAAAGCCAGGCTTGGATTGCCTTGGCAGTAGTATAGCATATTTTAAGAGAGTCCCAAGGCTTTGGTGATGCATTAAGCCCAAACCACTTTGACTTAACTATGTGTCTCACTCACTTTCAGAAAGACCCCATTGGGCGTTTTCACTTATAAATTCCAGAGCCAAACAACTGACGTTGCTGAAAGTGATTGCTTTATCCAATCCCCTATGCAGAACTCCATTCACTCCTGATTCAACATTGATAGAGCTCTTGAATAATACATTACTGTATGGAATGAAACTTGGAGCTCAATCACTTTCTCAAAAAAAATCTTTCCTTTCTATAGGCTAAATCCATATCCTAATATAACCTTGGAAATCAAAGCAGCAAACAAAACTTTCTCTGGAGCAGTTGTGTTCCAACTTTTATTTTCATTCCCACCATAAACGTGCAAAGGTGAATCTTTCCTTGAAAGTCTATTAATGAATATTTGACAGTGGGTTTTCCACGGATAAATTCTGTCTCTCTTCCATTTCTTTTTCGGGAACTACCAGCACCCCTTTGCTGATTTCTTCTTTTTTGTCTGATGGTTTGTGATTTCACAACAGGCCAATTCAGTGATGGGGATGACTATAGATTTTATGTTTTTGTTCTTTCTAAAGCATTTTCTAATATTTGTCTGATACCAAAGTCCATTTTCACATGGTTGTAAGTTACTGATGGTAACTCTGAGACCGGTCCCCGGCAGGCCACTGTTTGAAATCAGATCTGATAAGAGCAGACTGTAAATCTTAGAGCTCCAGAAGCAATCCTGATGCTTGCAGCACCCAGAGTTTAGAGACTATACCAGCACTCCAGAGATGCACTGAAGTTTACACCTTGATTCATATTTAGGATTAAGCTCTTTTTCTCCACATGGGTAATGAATTATTTGTTAGCTAAATGTTACCGTTTATGATAAAAGAGGAAATATGTTCTACCTCATTAGCACTGCAACGTTCTTCTTGAAATATGTTTTTGACAATTAATAACCTTTTTTTCTCAATATAGGATGTACCGATGGGTCAGCATAATTTTCAAAATCGCACCTTAAGGTATTGTATCCCTTTGACTATCTGATTTTTAAAAGCTTATTGCTCTTTATTCATTTCTGATAGTAATTATCATCAATTATGGTAATTTCAAAGGCTACTTCTTCTGAAAGTGCAGCTCCTTGTGAAAAGCCCTATTAAATTGCTTTCAGCTTCTAAAAATAGAATCACTGGGGTCTTATTGTGAGAATTAAGAGGGAGAGAAGCCACCTGGTACTCATTTTAGAATGTTAAATGCTTCCTAAGGTGGCTCTTGTTAATATTGTTGTGTGGTAAAAAATTAAATTGTCTTAAAAATGGGTATGTTGCTTAAAATTATACTTTTCTGCCTGTAATCCCAGCACTTTGGGAGGCTGAGGTGGGTGGATCACTTGAGGTCAGGAGTTTAAGACCACCCTAGCCAACATGGCAAAACCCTGTCTCTGCTAAAAAGACAAACAATTAGCCAGGTGTGATGGCATGTGCCTGTAATCCCAGCTACTAGGGAGGCTGTGACATGAGAATCACTTGAACACATGAGGCAGAATTTGCAGTGAGCCAAGATCGCGCCGCTGCACCCTAGCCTGTGCGACAGAGTGAAACTGTGTCTCAAGAAAAAAGAAAACAAAAAAATTATACTTTTCTGTTGAATTCTAAAGATAAATGCAAGATAATTCCAGTGTATTTCTATTGAAATAAAGGGCAGCCCACTCTGCTCAAAAAAAGAAAAAAGCTTCCCGCAAATGGCTCCACATGCCCTGTCACCAGCCACTGTCAAATCACCTCCACTAACCCCTTTTTCTCCCCATTTTCTTCTATCTTTCGGGCTCAGAATTTTACTTTAATATTGGTGTGGGAGGTAATCAAATCAATATGGGGACATTCAGATAACCAATGTAAAATATAGTCCCAAACGCTAAGCCAGCCTTCCTTTCTCCACAAAGAGGTCAGTTTATTGGAGCTATTGATAGATTTATAGAAGCTAAGGAAAAGTATGAGATCTGAACTATTTTTTATAGAAAATGAATTTTATCCAAGTAAAAATGAAACACAGGCTGTCACCTGCGGAAACAAGGCAACCATGCACATTAGCCCGGTATCCTTCTAAGTGACTGTTGGGATAAACTCTAATTTAGACTTTGTGCAAAATTTGACATTTTAACATTGCGATATAACATTCACAGTCTTTATGTTATGAAGATAATCTGGTTCTTGAGCTTTTGAAGAATTATATTTAAGTGGCATATACTGTAATAAAGAGAACTTATATAGGAGAGCCCATAGGATACCCAGAGAAAGCACGGTGCCTATAGCCAATAACATGCTAGCACATCTATGAGCAACTGACCACAGAAATTTCATGGACTTCCTTTCACTTCCTATTCACTATCTCTTCTGTTATCTGCCTCTCCCTTCCAGAAATTCTGCTTTAAGTGTCTATTTATTGAAGTTACAATGGGAAAAGTAGTGTCATGGAACCCCAGTATTGCATTGGGCAGTGCCATCTGTGATGAGTGCTGTCTGGAAGACAATGATAAGAAGCTCTTGTTTTTATTTGTGCTGTCTATAAAAACTCTAATTTGGTCTCTATAGCATTACTGCAAGATAGACTGTGTTACCATTATCATTTTAAAAGGGAAGAAACTGAGGCACAAATGATTAGGAGAATGCCAGAGTCACATGGCTGGTGGAGATGAAGCCAGCATTTGTGCCCAGGCTCTGTGACTCCAGAGCAGGTATCCCTAACAGCTCATCAGCCTTGCCTGCTTTACTAAGGGCCTCTTCCATATCTATTCCATTTACCTCTGTAGTTGTTGATCTTTGGTGACCTCAAGCCCTCCTGAAGAGAACCCCAGTTCTGAGTCAGACTTACTCCAGGCTGCCTGGACACTTCCAGGGTTTGTAACATGGGCTTCCTTATGATACCTGGCTGAGCCTCCTGCCTGGCCCACACATTCTTGGCATGTGTCCCCTCCTGTGCCTGCGTAGACCTAACAGCCCAGGGAATGTGGTAGCATGAATCTGGGGAAGGAGCCTGGGAGACAGAATGGAGATGCGTTGGACACAGGGACTGGCGTCCTAGAGCAGTGAGAAGGCCAGCGGTGGTGGCCAGGGGAAGGTGCTAGGACGGGAAGATGAGAGATGCTGGAAGTCAGAGAGAGAGAGTCCTGGAGGTGAATTAAGACTCCTGGTGGGGAGATCATCAGCCGCAGGGGACTTATCATCTGTGCCATTTTAGCAGAGGGTGCAAAACTGCAGAGACAAGAAAAGTGTCTGTATGTCAAGAATTATTGTCCAGATAATTAGTGGATTCAAATAATGCACAAAGCATGCATTTATTGGCTACTACGTGTGTCACATTATAGCACTGAGCTTTCTGCAGGCATCATCTAAGCAAATCCTAAAGCAGGTTAACAAAGGCAATGCCTTGTTAGCACTGGACAAAAATATCAAAGAATTACATTTTCCTGTAAGCCTCAACGTACTTACACCACTCCTTCTTAGATTTTGCAGAAGAGAAAGCCATTTAATTGAAGTCAAGAAACTCAAGTCTAGATACGGGACTGATGAAAGTTAAATGAAGGGTCTAAGGTCCTGCAGGTTTCAGCTATAAATAAGAATGTTCAAGCCATACTAGTTGGTGGTTAAAAGGTTTCTTGCTTTTTTTTTTTTAAGGAATATAAAAATTGATTTGCCTTTTTCAAACAATTTGGAATTTGATACTAAAACCTCTTAATTCAGTTGGCTCAATATCTATGGGCAGATCACTTAATACAATTCATTTAATTTTTTTAAACATGACTGCTCTCAGCCTGTCTGAAGAAGACAAGACCTGAAGGCACAAATTCAGAAACATAGAATGATAGAATTGGAAAACTCATGCATCTCGTTAATGATCATTCTGTGAGATTTAATTACAGATAAATGTGACATTGCATATTTAATGCTATTCTTATCCATATATAGAGGCAATTCTGAAGTCAGAAAAGTGTGTTTTTTAATTCCAGATTAGATGTTCTATTTATTTTTAATCTAAGCAACTATAACACACAGAATTCATGCCTAAACCAAGATACAGACATAGCCTCGTTCAGGTCAGCAGGCTGTGCTTTTGACCTTTGCGGTGGATGTTTAACTTCTAAGAATAGGTACGGTTTTGGTTTTCTCCTGACATCATTCTCATGCGAATTGTCAAATAGCCTTGAAAAGCTCTTACTATTTGGCACAATTTATTCAGAAAGCATCTTATATTATGGCTAAAGATTATTTGCTTCTAAAACTGAGATGATCTACAAACAAAAGTCGAGTTTTCTGTGAATAGTGCTTTGAAAACTGAGGGGCATTTAAATACATACAATCAAGCTTTGGTATACCTAAAATAAGACTGTAGTTCTGCAAATTCTTGAAAATCAACCAAGAAAAACACAAAAAAGGAATGACTATTTTGTCAACCAAGCCACATTTTTACAGGGAAATTTCTAGAACCAATATATTCTATCATAAAATAAAGTTTATAAAGGTAGCAATTCAAAAGCTAATAGATCTCTTAGCAGAGAAAGTTCTTTTATCTCAAACACCAAGCACATGTCTTTCAGTGTTGCTTTGTAAATGCCAGTAAATTTCACTGTGGGTGAATAAGGCAATATTTTTACTATCCCAAAAACTTCAGGTATTCACTCAATCCAAAGAGAGTCTGGATGTTAACAGAGAAAAGCCTGCTCATAGACTATCATTTCTTTTTCTACTTGATTGTCAGAATTAAACAAGGCTTTTGACATCATAGAAAAATAGCCTTACTGACACAGAAAGACAGATTTGGCATGTTCTCACTCATATGTGGGAGCCAAAGAAGTTGAACTCATGGAGGTAGAGAGTAGAATGACAGACACCAGACACCAGGAAAAGTGTGTGGACGGAAGATGGGTAGGTAAAGAGACATTGGTCAGGGGGCCCAACCTTTAGTTGGATAAAAGAAATAAGTTCTAATGTTTGATAGCAGAGTAGGATGACTGTAGTTAGCACCAATGTACTGTGTAATTCAAAGTAGTCAGAAGAAAGAATTTGAAATGTTCCTAACACATAGAAATGATAAATACTCAGGATGATGGATTCCCCAGATACTCAGATTGATCATTGTCCATATATGCAACAAAGTATCATCTGTACCTCATAAGGATGTAAACTATTATGTAGCTCTAAAAGATAGGCTTAGTTATTTATTTTACTAGTAATATTCTTACAAAAAAAATAATATTCTTACCTATAATATTTCCTTTTTCATATAGAACCAAGTCACAAAAGAAAAGATTTGAAGAAGAATTGAATGAAAGGATGATTCAAGCAATTGATGGAATCAACGCACAAAAGTGGGTACATTTTCATATTAAACTATCATTCATCTTTTATTTCGAACCCTATTATTTAAAAATAATGTCATAGGTTCCAAATGTGTTTTATCATAGGCTCTGCATTAGTTAGCATGACAAAGCCAAGTTTCTGAGACAATTCATTAATTTCACTTCAATTGTTCCTCAAAGAGCTTTTGTTAGAAGTATTTCTTACATCTTTTTTTTTTTTTTTTTTTTGAGAGGGAGTTTCGCTCTCGTTTCCCAGGCTGGAGTGCAATGGCGCGATCTCGGCTCACCGCAGCCTCCGCCTCCTGGGTTCAGGCAATTCTCCTGCCTCAGCCTCCTGAGTAGCTGGGATTACAGGCATGCGCCACCATGCCCAGCTGATTTTTTGTATTTTTAGTAGAGACGGGGTTTCACCATGTTGACCAGGATGGTCTCGATCTCTTGACCTTGTGATCCACCCGCCTCGGCCTCCCAAAGTGCTGGGATTACAGGCGTGAGCCCCCGCACCCAGCCCTTCTTACATCTTTTTAAAAGTATTTCTTTCATCTTTTTAAAAATATTTAACTCTTCCTAGAAAATATTACCAAATCAACTGTTGATAAATAACCTGAGGTATAATTGGAGAGAGAAACATTACAGCATGATGTGTTCAACAAGTAATATTTTTAAAAGATAGATTCTATATGGGGAAAATCTTCAAACTTTACCATGTGGTACTATCCATCCAAAATGCATCTGTCCTTATTACAAAACTAATGTTGAGATACCTGTGTTCTAAATCCTGGAAGAGAATTCGCATTGGTGAGCAATGAGAGTAAGACTGATTTCGGGGGCACAAATTGTCATTCAGCCTCTGAAGCCAAGAATTGCTGTTACGGTTTTAAATGGTCCAGAGTTGTGGGAGGGAAACAATTGAAAGAAGATGATGGCTTTCTCCACCTGGACAGAATGATTGTGTTCATCAGCCTTCGTGTTCTCCCTGCGTATGTGTGTCATAACTGAACCCATGGAGAGCAGAAAGCACATGGCTTAGCATGGTGCCTGGTGCACATCAGACGCTCCATTCATATTTGTTGAGTTGAACTGCAGTGAAAACATCGGGAGGTCCAAATGAAAAGCCTTCAAAGAAAAGCTTCCATCCTATGGAAACCTATTCAATTTTTTATCATGAAAGCTGACTCTTGAAAAGTCTAAATGATTTTCACCTAGAGCTCTTCGTCTCCAAAATTAAGTTACAGGGCCTCAAATAGTATATGGCTCTATGAAATGCATGCCTGTTTTAGATTGTTCCTTGTAAGTATTTATTACAGAATATTTACAGGGCTTATGAAAGAATTGCATGAGTGTGTTAAGTGTGTCTGTGGTGGGTGTGTGCCTTTGTGTCTGAATGCAAGTGCATATTATCTAAGCAGTAAAGCATCTTGGTCAGGCAAGAGTTGCCATTCAGATGTGCTTGAACACTGAATTATTACCTGTCTAGAGACCCTTCATGTACTACAAGTAGGCAAAGCCCCCTTCCTGTCCCAGAATACCCAAGGCCCCCCACCTGGACCAATGCTCTGCTTTGCCTGATGCTAGGGTCAGTGCAAAAAACAACCTCACCTCTGCCTCAAACCATCACACACTGAGAAATAAATAACTTCCTGGAATCTAACAGCAGCTAAAACCTAGGGAGGCACCTGGTTTCATAAAATATAGGTGTAAGAATGCATTCATTCAACCAGAGGAAATAGCAGCTGATACTCTGTGACTCACCAGAATAAGACACAAGATGAGAAGAAAGAGGCAGTCTTGTTTTTTGACAAAAGTTAGCAAATGATAATAATAACAGTAATATTTTGAAAACGAATTCCTAAAGTCAGCCTCAGCATGTGTTCATGCAGGACACCTACCTTTTTAAACTATTTTTGTATCCACCTACCAAACAAATCATCATAGAGTGCCACCATTGGCTTTGCTTTATTGTTGGTAAAGTTGCTTTTAGATTGTGTGTTTGCTTTGCATCATTTAGTATTCAAATACATGCTGAGTTAACACCTTATGCTTTAATGCAGTTTTATTCCAAAGTAATGCTTAGTGCTGATGTAACTGCTTATGCTGTAATTTTCCCAACGTGTTTCAGAAATCAAATCGAGAAGAGTGTGCTATACGCAAAAAATAAAAGGGAAATTTTTCAAATGGAAGCTCTTATGCATATATTTTTAATTAACTCAGTCACTTGTTGTTATACCTTCCTCATTAACTCCTCTTGTTCTCTGATATGAAGTTCTTCTGATCTTTGAATTTTCATTTGAGGACTCAACTGGGGCCCCGGGCTTGATGTATCATTCATTCCTGCTATTGGCATAAAACAGTGATTTCTATGCAGATTTTTGCTTATTCATTCACTGATGGATTGAACACGCGTTTGTTAAGAGATGACTGAGGTCAGCATCTGCTCAGCCTTCCCCCAGTGCATGCCGCGGTGGTGGGGAGCTCTCTGGTGTCTTGTCTTAGAAGGACTCCTTGGAGTCCTTCTAAGTAGGACTTCTAAGTAGTCCTTCAGATCAGAGTCCTACTCTTAAGAGCTCATTTAACATTCATTTCATTCTTAGAGGATCCATCTCCAAATACAGCCACACTAGGAGTTAGGGCTTCAACAGATAGACGTTGGTGGGGGACACAGATTTGCAGTTCATAACCACCATGGCATGTGTGTACCTATGCAACAATCCTGCAAGATCTGCACAAGTACCCCAGAACTTAAAGTATAATAAAAAAAAAGTAAATAAGAAAGTGGCCTTCTTGCATGGTATCTGCTTTGCAGCAAGAACTTGCTTTCTCATATTCTTGAATAATTCTGTGTGCAGATGTGGGTGTACCCACGCCCCTCTAGTCAACAGAGTATTCAGAATTTCCTTTATTTTCCTTAACCTCTTGATAAAACAAAACAAAACAAAAACCTTCATATAAATAAACAGAGAATCACTTATTGTGATACCCCAGGATGAAGTTGGCTTCCTTCATGCCGCAGACTACTGGGATCATAAAAAGTCAGGAGGCCGTAAATCAAGCACACACACATTCCCTCTCCCTTCTCTCCCCACCTCTCCCCTCCACAGCCCTTCTTTCTCTGTAGTTTCAACCCCCTGCAAGTAGTAGTTGACCTGATCAGCACACACAAATCTATCCCCTTCCAAATATCCAAATCACATTTATAAATCTTTCTGTTTTCTACAAGTCAAAATATTCCCAAGTATACTGCTGACAAATAACCTGAAGTGTAATTGGAGAGACAAAAATTATAGCATGATGTATTCAGCAAGTAATATTTTTAAAAGCTAGATTCTATATGGGAGCATCTTCACATTTTAGCATGTGATACCATCCATCCAAAATGCATCTGATCTTATTGCAAAATTAACGTTGAGATACCTGTGTTCCAAATCAGTGGTGGGAGCGGAGCCACCTCAAAGGATTCACAGAGGTGATTAAGTGTGTAGGAAGAATATAGTCGTCTTAACTCTAAAGACAAGGTGAGGAGAATCAGGCCCATCCGTCATTGCTGCAAGGGAGAAGCCCCAAGCCAGACCCAGTGTGCTGTGGGAAGGGAGGCGAGGGTGTCCACTGGTGGGGACTCAGTCGTGACCCCAACACAGATCTAGCACTGGGGCTCAAGAAGCACCACAGAGGCTCTGGGGATTCAAGGCAAGCAAGCCTGATTCCGAGCACTTTCCACCCACCTGCAGGTCACAGGCCATGGAAACGTAGACTGGGCACGTGCGGACCCGACCAGTAAAGGAGGCACTGGTTTTATTTTCACTTCCTAAATTTCACTCTCACTCCCAAGCTGACATTTTCCAGGAGCATTTTTAAGTTATATTTTTCTCAGTGAAGGAAATATTGTTTTTATTACCAGTATACATTATTCATAGTTTGATAAAGACACAGTTCTGAAAGTGAGTATAGTTAAAATTTATCTTAATTTGTATTTTCTGGTCCTTTTCATGTTAACCATCTTTGATTTCTCCGTCTAGTCTTGTGAAACAGAATAATAGTTCTGCAGCTGGTAGAGTAATAAGAAATACCAAAAAAAAAGTTTATTTCCCTAAAGCTTATACCCTTGAATCAAAGAACTATGCAGCCATAAAAAGAATGAGATCATATCCTTTGTAAGAACATGGATGGAGCTTGAGGCCATTATCCTTAGCAAACACAGGAAGAGAAAACCAAATACCACATGTTGTCTCTTTTAAGTGGGATGAGAGATGAGATCACATGGACACGTAGAGGGGAATGACACACAATGGTGCCTGTCAGAGGGTTGAGGGTGGGAGGAGGGGGAGGTTCAGGAAAAATAATTAATGGACACTAGACTTAATACCTGGGTTATGAAATAACCTGTACAACAAGCTCCCACAACACAAATTTTACCTATTTATCAAACCGGCACTAAATAAATTTTGGCCAAGCATGGTGGCTCATGCCTGTAATCCCAGCACTTTGGGAGGCCAAGGTGGGCAGATCACCTGAGGTCAGGAGTTCGAGACCAGCCTGATCAACATGGAGAAACCCTGTTTCTACTAAAAATACAAAATTAGCCAGGTGTGGTGGCACACGCCTGTAATCTCAGCTACTTGGGAGGCTGAGGCAAGAGAATCACTTGAACCCAGGAGGCAGAGATTGCAGTGAGCTGAGACCATGCCACTGCACTCCAGTCTGGGTGACAGAGTGAGACTCCATCTCAAAAAATAATAATAAAGTAAAATAAAAGTTTTTTTAAAAGAAGTACTTTTATTGTTCTCACTTTTAATGGCAGTCAGTCTAGAATACATTACTGACTTCCCTGCCGCAGTTGAAAGTGCCCTGTGATAGTCTAGTTTTCTGGGATGTTCAAGCTAATCAGGATGTGTCTGGCAGTGAAAGTCTTCCAAACTGATGAGGGGCGCCAAGCAGACCTGGGGTTTTCTTCCTCACGTGTGCGAGTCTCCTGGGTTCACTTGTCATTAGCCATATTGTTAAAGATCAGTCTTCACTTCAAAACCCTAATCCAAAGTCAGGAGGAGGCCACACTTGCTGATTACTAATAAAGTGCAAAATTTCACTTGACATTTTTCCCTGGATCCTCAAAGGCTTTCATCTTTTATCTTTCAAATATATCCCAAGAAGTCAAAATCCATGATGTACAACCAACGGTTCAGAAGAGTATTATATTAAGAAATTCATGTGAATTGATAATTGTTTGAATAGGTATGACATTTTTTTGGATATTTATGTAAAACATAATTTTCTCTCTAATGTCCTAACATATATTGTGTGTCTCTCTCTCTACACACATACACACACATGCATAGATATAAATATAAATATAGATATAGATGTAAATGTTAATATGAATCTAGATATACAGTTATATAGACATACAGATATATACATATATATGAATATATATCTGCAATTATTATATTTTTAACTCTAAAAGTATTTAGAAATATGTTTCTCAATAACTAATAACCCATACCAGCCAGTAATATATGTTGTTGTATATCCAGATATTTGATATATCTAGATACTTTTATGCATAGATTTGTTTTTTTACATGCCTGTACTCATAAATATGAGGTGTATCCCTCTATTTCACTTAACTATATTTCATAAAATTTGTGTTTATTTTATTGTCTGATGTGTGATCATGTTAGGCATTATGTGAACGGCTTGCTTGGTACACAACTGGTATTGCTGTGTGCCTTGTGGTTATACGACCCTGTTGTGAAAGGGTTCCTCCTTATGCTCAATATTTACAACTACTTGCTTAAAACGGATGTTTAAAAGTCAAACAATGTGGTACAGTGCATACTTCCACATAATTTTTATTTATTTGTCAACAACTGAGAGATTTATGCATGCGGTTTTATGTTTACATCAACCTAGTCTAAACGGATTGCTTATTAAGTTAGTATTTTTACCAATTTTTTAAAAACTTTATTCAAGCATGACTTTTACTTTCTAGAAATGAAAAAAGTGACAATGAATGTATTTTTGCTAAGTGTAAAATAATCAAAACCTTGTTTCCCAGATCTTAAAGGCATTCTGATGGTTTGGATGCTCTGTGATATGTTGCCCTCTAGAAGCTAAAAAAAAATGGTACTTCTCCAGGAACCAGATGCCTAAGGAGGTGAAACCACTGTGTGACTTCAGAAAAACATTAGGGGATCAATTTATTGATGTTCTATCTTTTAGATGACTTCTCTCCCTTGTTATTTAATTTGGATCCCTTGAGTTGCAAATGATATGACAGTTGGTTTATAATATAGAATTTTCCAAGGAGGGGAGTGTGTGATTAGGGATATTCTATTTTCAGATCCTGTTAACAGTATCCAGAGTCCATATCCAGTTAGTTGGCATTATATCGTTGTTGTTTTTTTTAATGCTGTTTGGAATGATATACAGTAAAGAAAGAAAAGTGCAAGTCATTTAAAGAAATAATTGATGTGTTGGTCCTTTCTATTTCCAGACAATGGCTCAAGTCCGAAGACATTCAGAGAATCTCACTGCTTTTCTATAACAAAGTACTAGAAAAAGAAGTAAGCATTTTTTTCTTCAAAATCATCAATCCAGTTTTCTAAAATTTGAATATCTTCATGAAATTGTGCTCATGTTTTTTATATGTGACATTTAAACTACCTCTAGCTAGACTGGAACTGTCTCAGGCTTTTCTGGTGGTTCTTTCATGCATATATTGCTTTATTGTATTTCTCCTCACCAGGTTCCTGTCTTTGGTCAGTCACCATTCTCAGCCCTCTCGATAGTAAATGGTTCTGCAATATGTGCGAAATATCCCAATTAAATGAAAGATATGGGAGATAATACCTGCTTTTCTCAATGTGAAATTATCTCAGAAAAGTCTTAGCAAAACAGAATTCTTCTTGATAAATCTACAGTGTCTTTACACAACTATTTTAATATTTTGAGCAAAATATGAGTTTTACATTCAATGCCTCTTCAGGATAATTAGAACTTTTAAGCTTTATTGCATCTAAATACTTTCATATCATGACTTTTAAAATGAAAGCCATTTCAGGAACAAATAAGTAAGCAGACATTTAGTTTTTACATGTCAAGCTATATACAGGTTTGCTTAAATGAATTAAGTAATTCTTGCAGAAAGGACAACTGCTACTTTATTCGCCTTTTGTTTTTGTTGATCTATAGAAGAAACTTAGAAGTAATTTGCATCATCCAACTATATAATTACAGGCCTAGTTTGAACAAAAGTGACATTAATGGTAGCATTGGCAGCTATGGTATTAAAATTATGTTGATAAAATTTAGTGCATTGTTTTATGAATATCAAATAGAAATGTTAAATATGAAAATTCCTTCCAAAATCTATGAACACACCAAAATTTTTTTGATGTTGGTGGTCAAGAGGATCTGTTGTCCACTGCTAAGTAAAGGACTTTGACCATTGACCACAGACAGTTTACTAAATTGACGCTTGTTATAATGTGCTATCATTGGCCACCTTATCCTTAATAACTTTAGAAAATATTAATGGCTACTTATTGCTTAACTGTTACATTATTTCTTTCCTGATGGAAGTCCATTTCTTTGTTAATACCACAAAGAAATTTCTATTCATATCTCTGTACAAAGGCCTGAAGAAGCTAAAAGATAAGAATTTAATTGAGTGCATAGAATGTACATCACATTTCAGCAACTATGCTAATATAGCTTTTTCATGAGCATGGAAATTATGCTGGCTACTAAGTCAAAAAATATACCAAAAAAATTCTAGTAAACAGAGGTGATCATTTAAAAATGCAGCTTCTGCATACATTCCCCATGGTACGTATTTGCGGATGCTGACTTTAAGGCAAATTTTAGAAAGCAGCAAGACTTAAGCTCAGTTTTTGTCCACCTGTCCCCAGCCTGCCCTTCAGGGCATCAGGTAGGGCAAAGGGCAGCAAGAGGTGTCAGAAGAGAAATATCTGGATACTCATCAGAGGTCCCCCATTCAGCACTAAAACAGGGAGGCTAAAATCCAACAAATACGTACCTGTCCCTATATCTTGGGAAAGTTTATGCAAATGTAACCAATGCAACCTGAAAGTATTTTCAGGAGGTTTCAATGATATTGGCACATCTCCCTGATGCTAGTCAATCATTCCAGTCCACAGTTTCTTCATCCAAAATAGGGGCTGTTGTGAGGATTGATTGATTAGTACAAGAAAAGCATGGCGTGCAGGGCACTGTGCTCAATGCAGCTGGGGTCACCACCAGCATCATAAGTACAGCCCCATCTGGCATTTTTATCCTGCTTAAGTCAAGCAGGGCCATCCCCAGGTAGGCAGCTAATGCTGGTCAGCTTGTTCATGGCATGAGGAACCGTGTGGGCCCCTGCTGATTGCACTGGATGAGAGAAAGGAAGGGGAGAACCATTGGCCAAGCTCATAACAAGCCAACTAAGAACCAAGTCAGCAAACATTTTTAGTTTTGTAACTTCACCCATCACCTCTCAAAGGCATTAAGACAATAAAATAAAATACTAAAATAAATGAATATGTCTTGCATTTCCTTAGCAGCATTCAAAAGTAAAATAGTATATAGGAAGTCATCCCCTTTGCCTCAGTACCCATAGATGTCAGACCCTCATGGGACCTAGGGCACAGGCACGATTCACAGCTCACTCACTCAACCTTCTGGTCAAGTGCCTCTCTCCTTCCTAGAGAGATTCAGTTACTGATAGATGGGTTTCAGAACAGCTTTACTCATAAACCATGGTCCTTGGAAGTCACTCATGCGGGGGAAAGGAAGCACTCACTGCTGAGATGAACAGGCTCTGTCCTTGGCTTGCATGGGCCGCCATCTACACAATTTCTGAGTGTGGTGCATGCCCTGGGTACAACTAGGCTACTGGGCACTGTGTGCAGCTCTTCTCTTGGAGAACTGTTACTCATGGGTTCCTTTCTCTCCCTCAGTACCGGGCCACAGCACTGCCAGCGTTCAAGTATTACGTGACTTGTGCCTGTCTCATATTCTTCTGCATCTTCATTGTGCAGATCCTCGTGCTGCCAAAGTAAGTACTTCTGGTTTCCACTGGGATTCTCACCTGAGGTGCCTTTCCACGGAAGCCCAGTTATATCTCAAGCTGTGAAAGGATGCTAATTTTACACAGAGGGGTGATTTAACATGTCATGGTGGAGGGAGACTAACTGACGACTCAGAGGTGAAGTGGCCCCCATGTGTCTTCCTTAGCATAATGTTGGATTTCAAAGTGGACATGTTGATTCAAACTTCTAGGGGTTTAAAAAAATAAATTTAACCTTCTTGTTTTGATGTTGAGATTACTCTGATGCCCAGTCTAAAAAATGTGGCCCAATAAGCTTTACCCACAAAGAGTGCAATCCCCAGATGTGGTTTCTAATAAACATATACCATTATCTTATGTTGAAAGGGCACAGCCTTTCACTATGACACACTTTGCCCAACCATCCATTTTGTTCAAGTTCTGTGTTACACACCCCTCTCTTGCCTCTGAAATCCACTCTGCAGCTGCCTTTGATTGCTATAGGTCAAGGTCCAGCCAACCTCTCCCCAGAGAGACCTGGGTTACAAATGGGAGAATCTGGGCAAACCACATTTCATGCTTTGGGGGGATTCCTTCTGCTTCCACCTACTGGTGAAAAACCAATCACTTAGGTTATCTTTCTTTTGCACCTTCTCAATGAGTTCAAGACTAATCAGGTGACTTTCTTTAAGAAATCTAATTCTCATTTTACAATCTAAAGAAAATTCTTGTCCTTATAATAACTAGGGATATAGAAAGAAACTTTAAGATAGATTTTTTTTCTTTCTTATCGTATTTTTTTCTTTCTTAACCTATTTCGTTAAGGTCAAAGCACCCGTTTTCAGTCTAGCAGAATTCAGTTGTGTGCTTGCATTTAATTGTCATGGTGCAGCCAGCCTTTGTGTTCAACTCGGACTGCTTGGATTGGGTAGTGTTTCATCTCATGAACATGCTGAGCAAACTACAAAGAAGTTGTCTGTTTCTCCCCCTCTGTACTCCAAAGGGTTTTCTTCTAGGCACTAAGCCAAATAGCCAAAAATCGCTTTTGGGTACAAGTGGTTTTTGATTACATGGATGAATTGTAGAGTGGTGAAAGCTTTGTTCATGTATGTACAATTCATTAGCAATGTGCTCCCTTATAGAAGGGATTTCCAGTAGACTTCTCCTTTCCCCATGAATTGGAGGTGCAGTACATCAGCCAAGGGAGCCCTTCTTCAGGACTTACAAAATCTTCAGTGAAATTTCCCAATGTTAATATATCAGTTTTCCTTTCAAACAAATGTTTACAAATTAAGCTCCTTAGTGTCAGGCCTGTACCATGGTACTGGAGAGAAACAGCTATCCCAGTGCACACTGGCTTATAGACTGGTAGAGCAGAAAAGCATTTTGAAAGCTACGTAGGTGAAACAAATACTACAGAGGGGATGGGTCTTTATTGTTACTTTTACATAGATATATTAAGTTTTCTACATTTTCCTATTGGATGACTATTTCTATATTCTCTACATTGTAAATAATACAGGGTCTTTCACCTACTGGAAGGTGCAGGGGACAGAGAGAGTGACGGGGGTGTTTTAAAAGATGCCTCCAAAGAAGACAAAAAGACTTCCAGAGGCCAGGAAATTTTCATGGGATTCTACTTTTAAGAAACACATCCTCGTCATGCCTTTGCTGGCTTGACTTTGATTTTCTTGCCTCTCTTCTGTGGTGTTGCATCTTTATGAGGACCCATGGAAGTTCATTCTCTCAAGCGTCATCACCCATTATTTTTGTGGGTGCACACAGGTTTTCCTCAGAGCTTTTCCAACCAACAATACAAAAAGGAAAAGCTCTGAGCAAAATCCACAGCCTCACCTGATGGAGCCTCCAGACCTGCACTTGCTGTAAGAGCCTCAGGCTTCTTATTCTGTGATTTCTGCCTTCAGTTTTCTTCCATATTAATATCTTCATTATTTCCTTTTCTTTAAAAAAAATCTTGCTATGAAACATTTCAAAGATTCAGAAAAGTACAGATGTGATATGATAAATGCACACATGTCCACAATCCAGACTTTGTAAATGTTTACCCTGTGTGCTCTTTACCGCAGATGTGATTTTCCGCCCTCTAGACTGTTAGTATGTGGGTATGCTTCCTTTAAATAGTACCTGTTTTTATTTTAGTTTTATTTACTCAATTTAATATCTTTCTCTTTTTCTAAATTATACTTTAGGTTCTGGGGTACATGTGCAGAACTTGCAGGATTGTTGCATAGGTACACACATGTCATGGTGGTTTTCTGCCTCCATCCCCCCCATCACCTACATCAGGCATTTCTCCCAGTGTTATCCCTCCCCAACCTCCCCACCACCCACTGTCCCTCCCCAGCCCCCCACCTCCAACAGACCCTAGTGTGTGATGCTCCCCTCCCTTTGTCCATGTGTTCTCATTGCTCAACACCCACCTATGAGTGAGAACATGCAGTGTTTGGTTTTCTGTTCTTGTGTCAGTTTGCTGAGAATGATGGTTTCCAGGTTCATCCATGTCCCTACAAAGAACATGAACTCATCCTCTTTTATGACTGCATAGTATTCAATGGTGTATATGTGCCACATTTTCTTTGTCCAGTCTATCATAGGTGGGCATTTGGGTTGCTTCCAGGTCTTTGCTGTTGTAATCAGTGCTGCAATGAACATATGTGTGCATGTGTCTTTATAATAGAATGATTTAGAATCCTTTGGGTATATACCCAATAATGGGATTGCTGGGTCAAATGGAATTTCTATTTCTAGATTCTTGAGGAATCGCCACACTCTCTTCCACGATGGTTGAACTAATTTACAGTCCCACCAATAGAGTAAAAGCATTCCTATTTCTCCACATCCTCTCCAGTATCTTCTATCTCCAGATTTTTTAATGATCACCACTCTAACTGGAGTGAGAGGGTATCTCAATGTAGTTTTGATTTGCGTTTCTCTAATGACCAGTGATGATGAACATTTTTTCATATGTTTGTTGGCTGCATAAGTGTCTTCTTTTGAAAAGTATCTGTTCATATCCCTTGCCCACTTTTTGATGGGGTTGTTTTTTTCTTATAAATTTGCTTTGGTTCTTTATAGATTCTGGATATTAGCCCTTTGTCAGATGGGTAGCTTGTGAAAATTTTTTTCCATTCTCTTGGTTGCTGGTTCACTCTAATGATTGTTTCTTTTGCTGTACAGAAGCTCTTAAGTTTAATTAGATCCCATTTATCTATTTTGGCTTTTGTTGTCATTGCTTTTTGTGTTTTAGTCATGAAGTCCTTGCCTGTGTCTGTGTCCTGAATGCTGTTGCCTAGGTTCTCTTCTAGGGTTTTTATGGTGTCAGGTCTTATGTTTAAATATTTAATCTATCTGGAGTTAATTTTGCGTAAGGTGTAAGGAAGGGGCCCAGTTGCAGCTTTCTTCACATGGCTAGCCAGTTTTCCCAACACCATTTATTAAACAGGAAAGAAATCCTTTCCCTATTGCTTGTTTTGTCAGGTTTGTCAAAGATCAAATAGTTTTAGATGTGTGGCGTTACTTCTGAGGCCTCTCTTGTGTTCCATTGGGCTATATCTCTGTCTGTTTTGGTACCAGTTTATATTATTCTCTTCTATATTTTGTCATCTGTATTTTTATTTCATTAATTGATGTATGCGGTCCGACTTCTCCCATCTTATTTTGTGTTTCATTTATCTTGCTTTTCTTTGGTCCTTTTCTCTCTTTTTTCTCATTTCTAATGGATTGATCAAGTTCTTTTATTTTTTTAAAGGTAAAGTAAAAGCAAGCTTATTAGAAAGTAAAGGAATAAAAGAATGGCTACTCCATAAGCAGAGCAGCCTATTTATTCTTTTTCTTTTACTGGTTAGGAAATATATATTTTTTCATTAAAGATTACTATTCAAGTTCATAGAATGTGCATCATGTATTTTTCTTTTAATGATTACCATTAAAATTTCAATATATTTTTTATGTTAAATAAAAAAATGTATAACTATTATGTCTAATATGTATTATAATTTATATGTTTTTAATATAATATTATGTATTTTGTCAATATTTTGGGGGGTAGAAGTGGTTTTTGATGACATAGATGAATTGTAGAGTAGTGAGTCTGAGATTTCAGTGCACTCCTCACCTAAGTAGTATACATTGTACCCAATATGTCATTGTTTATCCCTCACTGCTCTCCTACCCATCCCCCTTTCAAGTCTTCCTAGTCCATTATATCACTCTATGTGCATTTACATACTCATAGCTCAGCTTCCATTTGTAAGTGAGAACATACAGAATTTGATTTTCCATTCCTGAGTTACTTCACTTAGAATAATGATTTCCAGCTCCAACCAAGTTGCTGCAAAAGAAATTACTTGTTTCATTTTTATGGCAGAGTACTTTTCCATGGTGCATGTATACCATGTTTCATTTATCCACTCGTTGGTTGATGAGTGCTTGCATTGGTTCCATGTCTTGGCAATTGTGAAACGAATTTTAACATATACGCTTAATTCAGTACATTCTAAAGTTATTCATAATTTCTCTTCAATGTAATTATTTCCTAGGATTTTAGCTCTGACAGTAATTATAGTCAATGTTTATTTATATTTGCCCACATTCTTTACCAATTAATTTCCTCAACAATGCTTTTTAAAATTATTTGTTTCTTCAGATTTATTTTTCTTTTTGGTGATGTATATGATTTGTTAGGGTTTTGGAGGAGGGGTCTATGAGTTAAACAATAGGACCCTTTTCTGTTTATATTAAAAAAATTTTTATCTGCTTTATCTCATGTTTGTATAACTGGGCATAAAATTCTAGGTTAACTTTTATTTTCCCTCAGTGTGATAATGATATTACTCTGTGGCATTACACCTTCTATTTTTGTTAATGAAGTATTTCTGTCAGTCTCATTACATTCCTTCCTAGAGAGTCTGTCTTTCCTCTCTGAGAGCTTTTAGGTATCTTTTTTGTGGATGAGGAGGGGGCAGGATTTTCACTATATTGTTTCCATA